TCTCTCTCTCTCTCTCTCTCTCTCTCTCTCTCTCTCTGTGTGTGTGTGTGTGTGTGTGTGTGTGTGTGTGTGTGTGTGTGTGTGTGTGTGCGTGTCTGTGTGCGCACTTTGTCCAGTCTTCGCTGTGCACCACTTGTATTCCAATAGCTCACTGCAGGGGTTGATGTCTGCTGACTAGGTGACAAGGAGCAGTTCATCCATGGAATGGTTGTGGATGCCGTGTCGCTTACACTGCATTCCAATTGCCCTGCTTACAGGCAGTGAAGGACTACAGCAAAACAATCCAGGCCCAGCGAGGGGATGGTCAGAGCTGCCTGAAACGCCTGCAATATGACGGTTTTGACACAAGTGTAGCTAAAGAGACTTCCACGTGTGGCAGTAATGGCCGACGGCAGAGCCAGATTGAGATGTGCTTTATTTCTAAGGATGGAGATGAGGCAGTGAAGAAGTCTGCCACAAAGACAGATACAGGAGGCACAGAAAAGATCGGGTCAAATGAAAGTGTACCCATGTGTTTCGATTGCTCCGAGTCGTCCTCTGATCTCAGCAATGAGGAGTGCGAGGATGATGATGATGACGGCGATGATGATATCTCGTTCCTTGGAACTAGCGTTGATTTGGAAGGCTATTGCTCAGAGGATGAATTGTGTTTCTGGAACGGGAATGACAATTACGATGCTTGGGGCATGCAACGGGTCGGTCATTGTGTTGCGAAAGTGGGCCACTCCGCAGTGCGGACGGTGTCTGATGTTGTTGGCGCCGCTGGTGCAATGGCCGCTTGGAGTCTGGCAAGCATGGGGTGTTTGTGGATCGCGGGGCGCACTTCCCCCAGCGAGCCCTCCATTTTCGTCTACAATTGCAACCCCTGCTCTTCTCACTACAAGGACTCCACTGCACTTACCCCACACAAGCCCCTCGGGTCCGAACATTCTTGCCATGACTCAGCAAACCAGGGTGACAGTGTGTTAAAGTCGAAGTCGGTATGATTGGTGAACCGTTGAAGAGCGGCTGAACACTTCCCGGGCTTCTTCTGTACAATGCCATTTTGTAAGCCAGCACATGCACAGAGTAGGAACAACGAACGCTGGTCCGAACGCTTCGACAAGATGCACCGGCCATACGGAGTAGCACCCAAAGACACTGGCAGTTGGCGGGATTGATTGCTGGGATTGCAGCCTAGAAACGACGACTGGTTGGAGAGTGAAGTGCTGCTGGAAATGTGATGTGACATTTTGTTCGATGGAAAGCAGTGGCAGATGATGTCTGTCAATGACGAGGCTTGGAGGAAAGGCACGTTGGTATCATGTCTTCTGCAGCAAGTTCTTCTTCGGTTTGCACTTAACTTTCAGCGGCCCCGCACTAGAGGATCTGCTGAGTGAGATGACGCTGATACACAGTAGCTGGTTTGGGGAGCTGTCAAGAATTGACTGTGCTTCACCAGTGCATAGGCGGAGGAAGGGAGTGTTGGCATTTCGGTGTGAAGATTGTTTGCGGGCATACAATCTCATGGGAGACCGGGTGGCAATTGCAGCTCAGCAAGCTGCGAAACTGATGGGTAGTGACAAAGTGCACGTGGCCCCCTGGCGTTGGAAGCACCGATAAGTCTGCAGTCCCTAGGGGATGGTGTTCCCAGTGCTCAGCATCCACAAACACTTGTCTGTCCCCTTCGGCTGAGACACCATGTGTGTGTGTGAAATTGGGCTGGGGTTGAGAGAGAGAGAGAGAGAGAGAGAGAGAGAGAGAGAGAGAGAGAGAGAGAGAGAGAGAGAGAGAGAGAAGGGGGAATCGTGCCCATTATCGGAACCAGAGTGACGCAGGTTTTTTACAACACTGCGCAGGTCAGCAGCCTTCCTTAGGTGATCTCCTTCCCCAATGATCTTTTTGTTGCGATGCTAAGGCATCAGGCTGTACATCATGACACAGTCTTTGGCTCCGACATAGTTCCAGATCAGTGGTATATGTCATGATTTGCTGGATTGTTCTACCATCCATGTGCCTGTCAGCATGTCTGCACCGCCACCGCCCTGCACTTGTAAAGTCAGCAGCAGGCGTTAAGTTGCAGCGTGGACCGGTCAGTATGTCTGCACCGCACGACATGTGTGAAGTCAGCAGCAGGCGATAAGTTGCAACGAGGACCTGTCAGTATGTCTGCACCGCACGACACGTGCGAAGTCAGAAGCGTTAATTTGCAACGTGGAGTTCCGTGCATCATTACAAGAGGGTGGAGGGTTGAGAGTCCAATACTCCATGCAACATTAAGAATGGGTGGTGGACTTTCGGACGCCGGTTTGAGACGCCTAAGATGCAGGGAATGAACATGAGAAGAAAAAAGAAAAGGCCAGACAGGAGGAAGTGGAGAACATATGAACAGTACGGCAATGGGGGAGTAAATGAGAGGGGGGATGGTTCAAAAGAGATGTGAGAAAGGATCGACGGGAAAAGATAGGAGAGCACAAAAATGGGAGTTGGGGAGGAGAGAGGATGTGTTGGATAATGCGGTTGGATGCCAGAGGAGGGTGGAGGGGGATAGATTGTGTGAAATGGAAGGTAGTCAAGGGTGATGGTAGAGGGCTCGGAAAGGATTGCGCCCGCCCAGGGATGGGAGGCAGGTGCGAATTGTGAAATGTGAAAGTGGAGGGAGATAGAAGGTATATAGGATTCGTAAAAGATGCTCTATCTGGGAAAGGGGAGAGAGCATTGTGTTGGGACTTTGTACATATTCCAGGTGATGGATGCGAGCTATAACTCGCAATAGGCGTTTAACGGCCCGATGTGTAGCTGGCGACTTCTTTATGTGGGTCAGCGGCTTTCTGGGGCGCATTTCTGTACGAACAACATGTGAGTACATCATCACAGCACTTGGTGAGAGAGCGCACGGACTCTCTGCCCCCGCCCAGGTAGCTGGCTGTTTGCTAGCGACCTATAAACAACCAGTGAGGGGAAGGAGTGCATACACTTGTTGCCGCTAGCAAACTGCCAGGCATGGGATGGAGTGCACACACTTTGCACACGGGCTCTCTGCCCCCAGCCAGGGGAGACTGTGCTTTGGGAAACTGTGTATGCACTTCGTCATTCATTTTATACAAAGAGTGTGACGAGGAAGGATCTCCCTAGATGCTTGGGCAGCATAGCAATCCTGCGCTAAACCCATATAACATGTTCGTCTTGCATTGGTTATGTTATGACAGTCCCTTGCTTTTTCATTACTGTTTGTTTGCTGTAAGATTAATAGTCCGATCGGTCAGCTGTCGTCTTTTCGTTCGTCCTCCGCTCGCTCAGCTGTTCTCTCTCCTCACCATCACTTGGGCGAAGGCGAATTCACTCGCCCATGCCCGTCTTGGTTAAGATTTGGGACGACGAGCTCGTGGATTTGTATTTGTCAGTGTGGCGAAATCTTCAACCATCATTCGTCATTGTTCGTTATGATTTCTTGAACCATGCTGGGTTGAAGTCCCAATGCATCCTGTGCTCATATTTGCTGGTCAGTCTTTGTTTTGGGCCTCAAACAAGCCTCCATAGTCCATGATGCTGCATTTCTCATTGACTCTACTGTGGCAGTTATGCCACAGTTGCTGTTGATTCTATTGTATAGTGCCTAGCCTCCTGATGAGTCGGTCACACTCCGACAAAACAGTTCGTCACAGCCCCTCCTTTGCCTCTTCTCCCTCCCTCTCTGCCTATGGTTTACTGGGCAGCTCTGTTTGACGATATGAAACAGTTTGTCACAGCCCCTCGTTTGTTGTCCTCTTC